CTCCCATCTTCTCTAGAACCTAAGAGCCATTCTTTGAAATGCAAATGTTTCTCAGAAATTAGTGAGTTTTGTATTGTACCTGATTCATAACATTTAACATTTAACATTGCTGTCTGTGTCTACCTATGTGTTCATGTGTCTATGTGTAGGTGTGGGGGATCAAGGTTGGCCATCTCAAAATGTGTCTCTTTACCTTGATTGATTTGGGAACAGAGGCCTCTGAGGGAAGTCTTGACCTCTCTCACCACTAACTTCCTGAAAGGATTTAAGATAAGAGGACTGTCCCCAAGATAGGCCATCACCATAGAGAACTCTGGGTATCGATAGACTGGGAGGGTCCTTGCTAAGCCCATTCTAATCAAAGTTCTGTTTACCAAACATTTACACTTGTAAGGGAAATCTCCACGTAAAGCTATCTCCCTCTCTGCACTGGGAAGATGGGGGGATGACCTCATCTCTAGAAACTTATCAGTGCAGAAGGGGAGGCCTTAAATCTGCATTACAACCTTACTCTTGTTTACTGCGCTTTTCTGGCAAAAGCAGCCCTAGAGGCAGTTCAGATGCCACCCAGTTCCTTTATCTCAGAAGCATTATCACCTCTCTGGGAAGTATTATCTGGCCCATCACCAATTCCTAAGATTGGAGAAAAAAATCAGAAAGGGAGAAAGGCCATTAGAGCACCCTCACCAAAAATCTAGCATCTTGAGTGTCTTCTTCAAAAATATAAGTAAAAAGACTTAGAACAAAATTTGGACTCATGACTAGGGAGCCTTGTGCCTGATTCATGACAGTAATTTTACAACAATAGCTGTGGAACCTCTGTGTACATGTGTCTACAGGTATGTTGTAAATGTGAGATATTTTTCTACCTCTGGATGGTATGACCAAAATTAAGAGCTCTATTGAAATTGGCTTAAAGTAAGCACTTACATAAATTCTAAATGTAATAGAAATTAACCCAAATGTCTTTCAAGTTAACGTGATATGAAATAATCTTTGGTGAATGAAAGCTTGTTTAAGTTTGTTGGTTTGATTAAAATGGACATGTCCTCAGAGTTATCAGCACTGGATATGATGCAGACATGCAGTCTGGGTTTACTAGTGAGATAAGCTCATGTTATCCCCGTTACAAATTTGTCAGCAAAAATAGCTTAAAATGACAGCTGATTTTGCCCAATGTCTCATGACGTTTTCTTGGGTAATCTAAACATAATTATTGGGAACAAATGACTTAGAGGTAAATGATTTAGAATTTATAGATAAACTTTTAGCAACAATTATAGTTTGTGACATATGTACTTAAAATAACTTCTAAAATCTCTTTTGTAACTTGAAACTTTGAAGTTTTGCCAGGTTAATGATAAAAATTCATTGAGTATTTAGATCATTTTCAAATAAGATAAGATATTAGCTATTAATTATAAAATATAAGTTGATCTACTTTTGGCTTATTACAGAGAAATTAAAAGGTGTTTTGGGTCTATTGGTAAACGTGTCTTGTGTTTTATTAAGATTGCACTATAAAGTAACATGTTTCCAGAAATTGTGAAAAGTATTTGTAGATTTGTTAGGCCACAGAAGGCTAATGTGAAAGAAAGTTTATAATTGCTTACTTAGTTTTTAGTTAAAAATTAAAGTTTCTAAGGATTAAAATTCTAATATGTGATTAAAGATACTAAAAATTAAGGAAAATATGTTTGTGTTCAAGGAAAGTAAGATATGTTTTCAGTAAAGAAAGTATAAATAATGGCAATATTTTTGTTTTGTTAAGAAAGATAAATTTGTTCTAAAGTACTAGAAGGGAGGAAAGGAAGGCACGGGACAAATTCTGAATGTAAAAAGTGAGAGAAAGTTTGTGACGGTAAAACCCTGAGGAGTTTTATGCATGGTCAAGTTGGCTAAGATTAAACTAAATCCAGTTAAGTAAATGAGTTTTAATGTCAAAAGTAAGCTGGTGCAAAATTAAAATTTGGTCTTCTTTCTCTTAAAAGGATAATTTTCTTGAACTTCATAAAGGGGTTATAAAAGGGTTTTCTTTACCTTTGAGTAAGTCTACCTAAAAGACAGAAAACCTATGTTTTGTTAAAATAATTTTCTATGTTCAAAAAGACTGAGGTCTCTCTATTAAGATTTTTTCTGACTGTTTTAACTCTCTGTTTGCCCTTGACTGTTTCTGTTGTCACTTTGACTGAGTGGATAACTGAGCATTGTTTCACAGTGAGCATTGTTTCCTGCTTGATCAAGTGCTTTAAAACCTTTTGATATTTTTGACAACCTTCCCCACAAAAAATATTCAAATCCTGAATGAAGTCTTTCTTTTGACCTGGAAGAAGAAGAGGAAGAAGAAAATTTCTTTTCCTTTGAGAATTTTCAGAGGGCCCCTGCGACTTCTCAAAGAAATTTGCTCTCTTCCTATAAGGAGGAAGATACTACACTTATTAGGCTTATTTGGTATGTTAAATTACATGGGCAGCATTGTCAAATAAGTGATGATAAACCTTCATAGGTGGTGTTATGTGGGTAAATGTTATTGATATAGGTGTTTTAAAATCATATAACATTCCTAAAATTCTAGTCTGTCCTGGTTATCACTCATAATTCTGGTTATTATTTTGAAGTGTTGTACATCACAACAATAACCAATTTTGTCAATTGTCATTTTTAAGTCTTTTGTCATTTAGAGAGAGTTATTGTTTTACTATGATGTTTTTTCAAATGGTTTCATCTTCAAAGAGATTCGTGGAAAGGTCTCTCTGGCCCTTACTCTAGAATACAGGTTTCTGACAAACTTTCAGATTATAAAAGTGAACTAGGTAAGAAATTACAAAACTCTAATGGAGAAACTAATGGCCCCATAAAACTGCTAACAGAGGATTAAGATCAAGAATCAATTACACAGGACTGAATTAAGTGATGAGGATGATTATAATTTTTATAACTTCATTTGAAATATTGCTGATTTTTAAAATGTTTTGTTTTTTCAGATTTAAGGAAACTTTTTTTCTCTTCTCTCTCAAGCTAACTATGACATATAGCAATTTGGTAAATCATACCTTTGTGAGCAGAATTGAAACATTTATCTTTTTCTCTCTACCTGATCCCTCCATAATTTGGAAACTCTTAGTGAATATTCTTATTTCATGGAAATATAGTTATTTGCATAAGTTCAAAAAGAATCTCGTCTCCTTATAATAGGACACTATTGGAAACACTGGTTATATTAGGAAGGCTTTGACTGGAATGTCATATTTAAGAGAAACATACAGACTCAGATATGACAAGACAGCTTTTGAGGAATAAATATTGACTTTATGGAATAAAGCCACTTGGAAATGTTGGCCTGATACCTTGTTTACATAAGTTCCAAGCAATCTTACCTGAGTGATCAAGGAATATCTTATGCACTTGCCACTTATGTGGCAGGTGCAAGGAACCTCAGTATTTGGGGGGACCTCAAGAAGAGAGGAATTCACCAAAATCTGTAGGTATTGCAGGTGAAGTCTGATGACAAAATCCTTGGCTTGGCTTTCCTGGCCTCGAGAGGCCTTTGAAGTTCAATCTGAGATTCCTTACAAAAACTTCCAGCAAAGCAGATTTAAAAGAGCCTGTATGATCAATTGCTATTCTTGCTGTACTTATGTAAATAATTGGGCCAAATTTATTGAAAGTAGACTTATTTTACAAACTAGTTAGTCTTCATTTAGCTATCTTTGATAAAAATGAGGGTGATTTTAGAGAGAAAAATTATTTCAGTGGAAACTATAGTACACACTTGTGGATATTAGATCCCAGTTCTGTTAATTGTCTTTGAGGTTTTGATTTTGTATCTGTTAACTGGACTGGATCCTGAATTCTTCTAGTCTCCTGAAATATCTGGTTACAAATCTCCCAGCTAATGTTTTCAATTTTCCCATCATTTTCATTTGGAATCATTGAGAACTGAACCTGTACTTTTTCCTGAAGCCCTGCAAACTGAAACAGAACAACTTGATATCAACTTAAGACAGATCACCACAATAGCATGTCTGTTGCTGTGTAAGCCACTCGAAGGGAGGCTAAAAGAGATGCTTCAACACTGACATCAAGAAATCTTCTTAACTAGCTGTCCTCTGAACTCAGAAACTGGTTTGTAACTTGCTCCAACCATTAACCTTGTTTTTCTTTTGTTTCCATAGAAATGCTTCTTATTAAATACCTGATTGCTTGCTTCCACAAAATAGGCCTAACTTTCATGAACAACTTGGGGCTCTGCCTCTGGTGACCTGCAAACCTATAAGATTAGCTGTAAATTCTGCTCCTCTACTGGTCTCTTTAACAACACCCATGCTCAGCAGGAAGCAGTTACAGAAGATAGACCTTCGACCTGTGCCCCTCAAGAATGAGGAACAGGATAAAACTAGAGGGGGGATTTGTCACTGACTAGTGCCCCAAGGAACTCAAGGGTGGGTTTGAAAGCATTTAACTGTTTTTCCAAGTTGTTTTTTTATGTTAAGGAGACACAACCAGCAATCACCTTGAAGCTAACCAAGCTTCCCTACAAGAGCTATGTCCATGACCTTGCCTTATTTTTAATGTGAAGACCTCTTCAAGAGGAGATTAAGCCACATTACCATAATCTGCAGTATACCTGCCTCTCACTTTTGAATATTCATTCCCCAACCAAAATAAAAGTTCCTGCTTCCCTTTGTTCTGGAATGCCATGACTTTGGAAATGATTCCTCGTGGCCTCCTATTTGTTGCAAATACACTTTACTTTGTGAGACAACTTCCACTGTTGTAGAGTCTTATTTAACTTACTAGGAGGCAAACCCACCTGGTTTGGTAATATTCTCAGCCCCCAAACCAGCCGGGGCAAAGGAGGTCATTGAGTTAGCCAATCCCTCTCCAACTAGTCTGGACTCTGCCTTGGCCAGGGGTCACGTTCAAGAGGGACACCGTGGGGGCTGAGGCAAAGAAGCAGCCAAGCAGAGGGCCCCGCAGCCCCTCGTCTGCTCACTCACCTTGAACCTCTCCGCTGCAGTCTTGGAATTTGTGAGGCCTTTGAGTCCATAAGGCACAAACAACACTGGCAGCCGCATGGGATTCAACACAGCTACCATGGTGAAGGCCTGGATGAGGAGGGAAGGAGGCAGTGAGGGTCACAGCTCTGTCCTGCTCTCTCACTCCCTGAGGCCCCCATCCCTGAGGCCCCCATCAAGCCACAGAGCCAGACCCTGCAGCTTCTGACAAGCAGGTCCTTCATTTGACAGAGGCCAAGCTGGTATTGAGGAGACTGGAAAAATTGGAGAAAAGGGCATGCATCTTCAGGTCTTCACGTCTGAAGTCCTGGTTCCTGTTGTAGCTTAGCCACTGGGAATTCTGTAACTGGGGGGCAGGTCTCCCCCCACCACAGGCTCAGTTTCCCCGCTGGCATAGTGCCCCAAATCATAACATTGGTACAGGAGGAAAGTTTGGAAAGCACAGAAAACACACGTGAGAGAGCTCTGTCTGCTAAGGACATAGCTTGGTCCTAGCACTGCTGCTAAGGTCATATTTATTCTTCTTTGCCTTAGATGCTCTTTTCTTTTCTAACATTCAAAATCTCCCTAGGCTTCAAGCCTATTCCATGCCTCACTCCCTCCTGGAGACCTTCCCTCACTGCGGCAAACCACCTTCAGCCCTGAGGATCTCAGAATGGGACCTTCCAATCCATGTGCCATCCCCACCTCTTTCTTCTTCCAGCTTTATCTCAAGATAGACTCCAATGGAGCAGGAATGGTTCGGTCTAATCCTGCATCCTGTGAGTACATGTGACCCGAGAGTCCCGCTGACAGTGTTCCGTACACAGGCCCCGCTGCCATTCAAACCTTTGGGGTGGTCCTCTGGCATGTGCCCGGGCCAAGCACAGGGGCCTGCTGTCTGGAGCACAATTGAGCCCCTGGCTGCAGACTCTCAAATGCTCCCCCTCTTGCACTGGGTGCTGTCTCTTGCCCTCCCAAGGCTGGACTCCAACCTCTCCAAGCACAGCACCCTGACCTATTCTCCTCAGAGAATTGGGATTCCTCACCCTGAAATCTGCTGCTGCGTCTCAGGGCCAGAGTCAGACCACAAAGGGAAAGATAGAGGAAGCTATCCCTTTATTTAAAGTGCATTTTCAGGGCCCTATTTTGGGACCAGAGAAACTCTTCAATTTAGGATTCTCAACCTCAGGAGTATATCAGAATCTTTGGGGATTTCACTACACATGTGACGTTTCCTGCACCTCTAGATGACTCTCCCTCCCACAGCTGAAATCCAAGGAGTATCAGCTTCTCAGATGGGTTGAGATGGAAGAAAGCCTGAGCACCCTAAAAGTCTGGAAAATCACACCAATTTGTATTATGCATTTGCAAAACCTTCAGATCATTGAGGGGCATGGGCTGGGAGAGGACACATGAGAAAACTCCCTATCAATATGGGGGAAAACAGAGCACCCCAAACACTTACTGCTGAAGCTGTGAGTTTCAGCCATAAGCACGTGTGAATGAGGAACATCACCACTATGGCCACCACTGGGACTGTGAAGAAGCTGGCAGTGGTCAGGCTCTGGACAAGCCCACTCCTCTCCAATAGTTTCCTTTCCTTCCTTCTCAGGTCTAGGAGATAAAAAAGAAACGCACTGAAATGAACCACAAGAACATTCTCCAAAGAGCACACAACAATACTAGGAACATGAATGAAGTCCCCAGAAGGTGAGAGGAGTGGCCCACCATCACATCCCCAGGTCTGAGCAGAAAGCCAGGTTTTCTGCACCTTTAATGATTTTGGCAAATGGTTTCTCCCACGTGTACATTTTAATCGTCTTAATGCAGGTGAGGACTTCACTGGTCACGCGGATGCGCTGGTCGCTGACCTCAGATGTGTCCTTCTGTATCTTCACAACCCTTCTGATCAGGAATACCTGCAGTCAGGATACAGCAAGAGCTCCTTTTGACAAGGGCCGGAGAGTTCAGCCTGGCCTGAGCAGGACAACTCGGAGTATTTCCTAGGCCACCTCCAGATGGGACTGAATAGCTGGGTTGAATCCTGCACTGTTTGAGTCACTCGTGACTCTGGGATCCAGGGCCCCGCTGAAGGTTTTCCAGTGGAAGCCTCTCCAGCCCATCGGGTTGGACACCTGCCGCCCACAGCCTGGAGGCCTTTCTCTCCTGGGTCCGAAGCCAGGCTGCGGCTGTGACTCCTCTGCCTTCGGGAGCCCTCAACCCTCTACTACAATCAGCTTTGGATCACAGTACCCGTGCTGAGGGAGGAAAACACGCGATAATTCCGAGCCCGCTTAACCCAAGAGTCCCTTCCTGTTTTGCACAATTTATTTCACCTGACTCTTTGGCAGCCAATTTGCTTCCCTTCCCCCATTATCCTGTGCTCAGCCAGATGTTAAACGCTGTCTGCAGTATTACATCAGCCCTGTCTGGGCGGAAGAGAAGCAGCAAAACCCTCCCACAGAGGATCCCTTCTGAGGGAAGTCTGTGAAGCAGATACTCCCTCACAGAAGCCTACGAGGTAGACTCGCACATCAGTCAGAGTCACCTCTTATGTGCTCAGCCAACGTCGTATCCAGAGAAGCCTTGGAGCTGGGAACTGAGGCTGAATCTCAACCACAATGGAACGAACAGTCAATGCGTCACCCCTCCCACTCAGAAGCACCCAGATGCCAGAGCCCCGGGAGTTCTGGGGGAC